GGCGCCCCCCGCCCGGTGCCCCCCCCCCCCCCCGCCCCATGTTAGCCCACTTCTCATTGCTGGGCAGAACCTGTTTTGACAACAATGTTTGAGACATCCGTACGTTAACTCTTTCAGTCTCTCACAACCTCTGACACACTGGTCCCAGGACAGAATTTGTGCAGAGAGCACTGGCACCTACCTCTTCCTACAAAGTCCAAGGCTTAGATTTTCCATCCCACTGTATAAAAGTTACTCAAACTTATTCTTAAAAAACACCTCTGCATTTTTGGAAAGTAACTACATTTTCTGTGGTATCAGACAGGGCAATTACTGAAGAAATGCATGAGAAAAACGGACCTATGAGCTAATCAATAGCATGGCACTTGGAGAAACAGCAGCTCAAATCTCTGTTCATTCCCTTCTTTACTTTGGGCAATTCGGTACCCTTTCTTTGCCTGGGTTTCCCTTTGTATAAAAGGAAGGTAAGTGTATCTAAGAGCAGTGCAGAGTAATGGCTGCCAGGATCGCGTACATAGCTGACAAGTACTCAGACAGAATAACAGAAGTTCGAAAGACAGAAAGGAAGAGAGTTATGAGCATGATTCCTAATTACATTACTGGTAAGACTTAATAGATTCACTTTCTCTTAAGCTAATACTCTTTTCCCCATTTCTAGTTCCAAAGTAAAACTGGAATGCAGTTAAGCCAAAAACTGTGGCCTTGGGGCTTACCTTCCAAAGGAAACAAGCAGAGAGCAATACATTACACATTCCCCAGGAGTGATCAAAAATAGGATAAGGCTTATGTGTGAAACAGGTTCAACAAGCACAGAACACAACTTGATGTTGTCCTGTTCCTTTGAGGTAAAAAGCAAAGTTAATTAGTCAAGGGTTTTTTGGTGTGTTTTCTTTTGTTTGTATGTTTGTTTGTTTTACTCACAAAGTTGGCCAGATCAAAAGTATTTAAGGAGGCCAAGTCAATTTTACCAGACAGACCAATGTTTGGAGAACTCCTCAAAATATTCTAGATTTGCTGAAAAGTTGGGAGGGAAGGGGGAAGGAAAGGGAGAGGAAATAGAGGTGCAAGAAACATGGAAATACTACTTCTGCTTCCAGGTGCAGCAGTCAGCTTGAATTTAGAAGCAGTAAACTGAAAAAAATTGGCATGAGTTTAGTAATTTGAAAAGTAAACCCTCTTTTGAAACTGTAGATTAAAAGAGAAATTGTAACATCAACTCTATTTCACAAATTCAGAATATCATTCAAAAACTTATGAGAAAAAGGCCACAAGGAATGTTTCACCATTAATGCTTCTCTGGAACAACAACTTTAGCATAACAACCAGTCCTTGTCACCAGCATAAAGACTGTAAGACTCTCAAATATAAGAAACAACACCCAACCTTCACTATTCCTTTTGAACAACAAAGGAATTCTGTAACCAATTCTGGAATTACAAGGAAAAGCACATATGTGGTATTTCTCTAATTTACAAAAACTAAAAGATGTTAAAAACATTCCCTGCTTAGCTTTAGAAAATATACTAAAACACACCCCTGTATGCTTTTCTAAAAGGCACACTGAGGAGGAGTCACAAATCAGCACTATCCAATTATACAGAGACATAATTTAATTAAGAAAAATATACAGTTCTTATTGCAAGCCTTCTCCATCTCCATGATTCCTGTATCTCAGAAGTCCTTTTGACTCTGCCTTTCCTGCTCGTTCAATGTTACTGAATACGAACACAAAAATACTTCCTTCAGGTAACACATGGTGGTGTTTTTTGGGGTTATTTTAGTTTGTTTGGGATTTGCACCATGCAGTTATAAATTTAACAGTAAGCTGCAACTATTTTTTGTTGTTCTAAGAGATCATAATAAAGTTCATGCGCTTCACTACAGACTTACCACTACATTACTAAATAATCCAAGTATTTTAGTTTTGTAGACAACTGGTAACAGAAGAGGGGAAATGCATGGATACCAGTTGCATATCAGACCCTGCCAAATGCAATACACACAACCAGAAAAGGACACTCAACTGTTAATATCCCAAAACGTGCTATGCTATTACCTGTAATATTACTAAAGTGGTCGTTGCAACTTCTGTATTGTGATATGTAAGTAACACAAAAATTAACACGAGTAATAGATCTGCGAAAAGCTGCAACTTGCAGTCAGAAACACATCGTCTTTTCTGTAATCTCCAAGAACTTCCAAGTGGCACTGAAAATCATAAATCCTATCTGAGAGCACACATAATATAACAAGTGCTATTTCCAAACAAACTCCAGTTAACAGAATCACATAATCGATTTGGTTGGAAGAGACCTCTGGGATCATCAAGTCCAACCTTAGCCCTAACACCACCATGTCAACTAGACCATGGCACTAAGTGCCACGTCCAGTCTTTTCTTAAACACCTCCAGGGATGGTGACTCCACCACCTTCCTGGGCAGCCCATTCCAGTGCTTAACAATCCTCTCTGTGAAGAAATGCCTCCTAATGTCTAACCTAAACAGAAGTTAGTTAATGATTTATCTTACTATGGCAATACTGGTAGCTTTTTCATTTATTAATAATTTTTAAAAACACGCAAAACTGATTGGCTGATGCAAAATGCTGATGTTTTATTACCTTAGTCATTTCCATTAAAGTTTAAAATTGGAGTACTTTTCAAAAAGAAGCACTTCTTTCTTTTTTATGTGCCAAAGATCAAAAAATGCATGGTTTACAATTACTGTAAGCCACCTCTCCCTATGGAGCTTTTTTGGTAGAGATTACTTGACAGTGATCAACAAAACTGTTCTGCTGAAGAATTTCTGCACAAAATTTTAGTTGATCTCTTCCAAGGATATTTAAATAATCATTATACAGGTGATATCAAAATCTTAATTCCAGGTAATTCACTAGAATATTTCTTCTTAACACATGATTTTACTCTGATCACCATATTTTTCCATAGTTTTTTCTTGATTTACCTACCAATTAACCAATAATCACTAGACAACCATAAGACTTGGAGTAAGTGATGTGGTTCTGATTATGCCTAAGGCAAAACAAAACAAGAATACTCCCCAGGAAACAAACAAAGATTTGTCTAAAATATTCTCTCATACGTTGTGTTTATCTTTAAAGATCTAAGTATGACAAAGAACCAAGAGGATGATATGGATGTTTAGAAGTTAGAAAAAGCAGAGGTAAGAGAGGAAGGAATCTGAAGGGAAGCATGAACGACTTCAGCAATTTGCTTTCAACAACTTGATTTTTGCAGTGGATTGTCATACGTAAGGGCAACTGCTTTCAAAACAGCATATTTTACTATGTCTGCAACTTAAAAAAAAACTAGTTTAGTAATCTGAGAAAGTATTTACTAAGCAGTATTTCTCCAGCAACCAAATTCAACCCAACTGGTGAGTTTGCTCATTAAATTAAACCACAAACATTTTAGAGACAGGAATGAAAGTAATTTCAAAAGAATTATGCAGGAAAATCTAATAAGGATTACCTTGGAGTGTATCAAAACTTTGAGATACAATGTAATGATGGAATGAAAAAGTTAAGTATTTAAAGGAAACTTCAGAGTTGAAATTCTGCAGTAACCTTTCTGTGCAACATTCTGAACATTCATTCCTTTTGGCAGTTACTGTCATTGTGCAAGCTGAAAAAAAATATAAGTAGTCTTAGGAAGTACCTAGGAAGCATTCAAATAAATCTTGGCAAGTCACTAACGTATTTGATGATGCATAGATCAGTGTGTAACATATTTACTCTGTAGCTTCTTTATGTATACATTATAGGAAAAAAACATGATGTAATGTAAAGATGGAATTACACTTGTAAAACTGCAGAAGTTTTTACTTTCTACATTAAACTAACCTTAAAATGAGAGAATCAAGGCACTGAGACAGTCCATTATGTAACATCATTAAAAAAACATACACTTCAAAAGGCAGTCTGGTTTGTTGTTGTTTAAAAGGTTTCATACTCTTGCTTTAAAGATCAATAGAGAAAGTTAAGATTTGGGTGACTACAGACAGTACCTTTTGACAGTAACTTTTAGTCAAAAGCATATGTGTGAAATGAAATCTTTTGTGTTACAAAGGTATAGGAAAAGCTAAATATTTAGCTCCAAACATCCTGCAAATATCGTTTTGCTTCTCGAAGCATGGCCAGGATTTTCATAGCTTCCAATTTGTCAGCTTCCATTTCCATGCTTAAAATGTCCACTACAGCATCACTTACACCATCAGCCATGTGCTTCTTATCTCTGGGGGGGGAAAAAAAAAAAAAAAAAAAAAATTAAATAGAGGAGGACAATGCCTGACAGTGTATTTTTCCCTTTATCAATAGCTTTGGAGACAGGATAATATTGCAAAAGAGGTATTAAAAAAAATCCCAAACTAAAATACAGTTTTTATATTGTACAGTAAGATTCTCATTGAGTTTTCATGTAGCTGAGCATTGACAACAAGAAGGGTTTCTCTCAATCAAACATTGCAAAGTTTTCAGCATGCTGTAACTTATATTTTATAAGAAAAAACCCTTGGAACCCTAGTTGAGCTGTCACAGAATAATTGTTTTCTTTTAGGGAGAACTGGACCTGCTGAAGTAATTTTTTTTATTATATCGCCATATGGTTCCAACATAAGAAAACCAAACCAAAACAAACCCCCAAAACCCAGAACCCTCACTTATGAATAATGCTATTTTTAATACAAATAGCTGACATTTATTCATGCAAGAAAACACATTGACATTGGGCTCTATATTTGAACAGTTCGTCCATTTATCATCAAAGTTTGTAAAAATCTCAAATCTCCAGGTAAGTTAGCATCCACAAATAAAACTTCCCACTGTAAAATACATTACTATTACAGAGCTTTAGCATTCAGGCCCACTGAAGCCTGGAACACAGCAGAAGACTGCTGCTATCTCACAGCTGTGCAGTTTATCATCACATGTATTCAAATACCTCATTTTCTCAAGAGAAATCTATTACCTTGAAACCTACTATAGCTTAATTGACTAAAAAAGAAATAATAAGGGACTAAAGCAACCAGTGGAACTATGTAGTTACAAGCTATACTTTCAAGACTATATTGAAAAAAATGGACACAGTGATGAAATTCTAGCATTCCAGGAAGGCTCTTTCAGCATCATGTTGGTCCTTTCTTTCAGAAGCTCTAAGTCTTTCTAAAGCCTCAAACTTCTGCTCTGTTCTCTTTCTGAGACAGTCCATCTCCACTCTACTCACCCACATACATAGAAGTAACCTCTTTCTTTCAGCAGAACTCTGGCAACTTCCTTAGCATAAAGCCTAACGACATCTTGCACATATTTAGGTGGGGCTACTTCGGCAGTTGAAGAGTCTCTTGAGAAACAAACTTTGAGATGAGTTAATGTGCCATTTTCCAGAAAACATCTGAGCTCATCTCTGAAAGGCAAGAAAAACTGTTAGTAATGGCTCAGAGATAAGCATTCCCTCAGGAACACAAAATTAATGCTAAATAGTGAACTTGCTTGAACAAATAGTCTCGATCCTGATGCCGACAACCAAAAAACAGCCATGTTTCTCCAAATTCCCAGTCTGTATGTTCTTCTCTAAGCTTTTGCCTAAACAGACCAAAAAAAAAAAGAATAATAAAAAAATCCTACCCTGTTTTATGAAGTGTAGAATCTAAAACATCTGTAACTTAATTCTCATTTAAAGTAGTGCTTTAATAAACCTCTGGATTGGCAGAAATGTGAAACAATTTAAGGTAAATCACAGTCAAATCCTCCTTGTTTGATTTTCTTGACTACTCACTTTTGGCCCAGTTCAAAATCAATCAACTTCAAAGAGGTGGGTTTTTTTGCCACAGTTTCAGATTGGAATAGTCAAGACTGACACTTCCAAACATCTCACAAAACAATCCTGACTGCTGAATAAGGAGATCACTACCCTTTATCCTTCACTGGAAGCCCCATAAACATACCTGGGAAAATTCAGCATAATGCACTTTTAGCATGCTTTTCCCTTTAGCTGTAGAAACCTGCTGGACTTTATGAATAACAATCTATTTACTACCATATCATCAGAAGAGTTATTGCATTTTCTTGAAATAATGCCCTCACTTCAGAGGGGTTTTAGCTGCAACTTTCTAGTTATATTTTGAGAGAGATACTTCATTTATCATTGATCAAATACTTATGAAATGCTATGAATCCTTTAAAATAAAATGCAAAATGCTTCTGAGAGATAGAAGTATATTTGGGAGTTAAAATTAAGGAGTAATGATTGTACATAATGATTTAAAGTGGAAGCATGGAGTCAGGAACATCATGTCAAAATTTCATTTTTCTCTCAAATAAAATGGTTTAAACATAATTGTTACAGCATGCAAGAAATTCCATTATCTTGCTGGAACTAAGGAGTCACTAGGAATGATATGTGTTGGTTACCTATAAAACTTGCAATCGTTCCCACCTAAATATTCCATTCTTCCCGTTCTTTGTTTCCTCCGAATGATCATGTTTTTACATATTCTCGGTGATGTGGTATCTGTCACTTTTTGAATAAGCATCTCTTTGCCTTCCAAAATTACTCTGCTTGAGTTGAAGGGGAAAAAAAAAAAAGGGATCTACCTTCCCTCAAATAGAAACCCACCAAACCCAAGACTACTGCCCAGTTGAGGGTTCAGGGGCCAAGTTCCAGAGAAATATGGGAATGTGGGAGAAAACTTGACGTTCATCATGCCAAGGCTTTTAAAACAGATGCCACTTCTGAAGGAAATGGATTTTGAATACTTTAGCCAATCAACACTATTTCTAAAAACTACCAGCCTCTTACAGGACTTCTGCTCACAACACACAGATAAAGGATCTAATTTCTTATTACTGTTTCTGCAATTCACCCAATTCCTCATATATCCACTATGGATATTAAATACAGTCAGATGAGAGTGTAAGTTTTACTCATTTGAAAAACAAATAAATACATAAGCACTGTTGGTTTAAAATTAGTAAGATTGTTACATAGCACCATACATAATAAGACTGACATACCACTGTTACAAAAAGTAAAAGGAAGAAAAAACAACAGAAAAAAAAAAACCCAAGGTAAGATTAACTGCATTTGTACTCCAAACGTGAGGCTGTATTTTCTTCAACATAAAAAGGTTGCTTCCAGGTAACAACTTGGTACATACCTGTGTTGTAGGAAACCAATAAATGGTGAAATTCCTGTTCCTGGACCAACCATCATGAATGGGACAGATGGGTCTGCAGGTAAGTGGAAAGTATTGTTTGGACGAGCAAAAATAGATATCTAAAATGAAATTGGATAGAATACAATTGAAGAATATCCTTAAGCAGTGAAAATACCATGAAATTTTTAGAACCTTCAGGATGTTTACATAGTATATGTGTCCAGACGCCCTTCCAAATCCTGAACTTCAGAGTTTATTTTTAATACCACACAAGCATTTAGAATAAAATTCCACATCAGTTTCTGAAAAAAACCCACACCATATTTACAAATCTATTAATCCATATGGAGGAAAACTAGGGAAAGCCACACAAGTATGAGTTTCTGAATATGAAAGTTGAGTGCACCATAAATTTGGGGAATGCTGTTACAGAATTCATGGAAAGTTTGGTGTTGGTACGCAAAGGGAAGTAAAGCTAGTTTACTGCTATTATAGGCAACTCAACCTTTTTTTTTTACATTGTGGACATCTAAAAACATTCCAGTGGAGGTGAGGATTTCTTTATAGTTAACTGAAGTCTACTGATACTGAGTTAGCTTTCTTAATTTTCACAAAAGTTTTACACAATCTCCAAAAATGCATATGGGTGAGGGGAGGCAGACAGCTGCTCAGAGATCTTGGAAAATAGTTTGCGTTATTCCACTGACAAACTCTAATTCTGATCTTCAGATCTGTGCCTGAAAGGAAGTCTTAAATGTAATTTTCATAGGAGGTCCACAACTATTCTCTGAGGCATGGCTAACATAATGTACAGAAAAAGGGAGATGATTACTTTTAACTCTTTAAAAGATTATTCAAGACTTCACAGCAGCCATAGCAGAGCTTCATCCCTTAATGTCATAAGCAAACATCTGATTTATTTTGCATATTAATTATGAAAGGATTTGAATTTACTTTCAAGTTTAAGGAAGGAATGAAACACTAGATCAAGTTATTTAAATCTTGTTCTGTAAACCTGAGCGGTTTAGCACTATTAATTTCTTATCGTTTAATTCACTAGAGATACTACAGCATTAAACAGGGTTATTTTCCTGGTTTCATGATGATAAAAAACAGTATAATTCTTGCTGTGGGGGGCGATATTTGTATTTCTGTTATACTTACTACTTCAAACCACACTTGAGTTAGGAGGCTATTTTCCCTATTAATGATTCCAAACTGGTCATTCCTTTAAAAAATATTGCAAATGGTAAAACATATTTGTACTGTAGTGTCTTCAATTAATCAAAGGTATTTTTGCATAAGATCACACCCATCTATTTTGTATTGGTATTCCACATATTTCTGCAATCTACATGTATTGCTGCACATTTATCTATGCTGAATTCTAGCTTGCACAGCAGATGCAAATAGTTCTGAACTTTACTCAGACTCATTTTGTAATAATCCTTTTTTTCTTTTAAAATCCACCTCTTTTTTATGTTTGATCTTTAATATCCTGCAAATCAATTATATTGTAAATAAAGAGCAGATGTGAATACTGGAGTAAGATATATTATGTGCATATTAATCAGTTTGCCTTTTAAGTTAGTTTTAAAAAAATGAAGATAACTTGTATGGGTTTTCCTTCCATTTTGCGAGACCAACAACCCTGAATTATTGGCACAGCTTTCTTGTAACCAAATTCTATGCTTGCTTCCATTTTTCTTAATCAAATATAGATTAGACTGGCAGTAGTTTTTTTGCCATATTGATTATATAACAGAATTCCAAATTTTTAATAATTAGCTTACAACTAATAATTTTGAGACCAATTAATTACAGAGTTTCTCTGCCATGAAAGGAAGAGAGGCAGGGTGGCGGGGAAAGTACCTTCTAATAATATCCACCATGCCAAACCATCTTTGATGCACATCAGAAATAACACAGACAACTGTCCGCTATATCATATTCAGTAACTCGGCTTTTGCAAACTGTGCAACACCTGACAAGAAGTGAGTTTTACAATTTGTCCCCTATTATCTGCCACCCTTTCCTGGAAGTGACCAACTGCATCAATCCTACAACACTAACAGTCATAACAGTCATAATTGCACAGTGGTAGCTTAGTCCATGAAAACATCCTCCAAGACTCGTTTAGGACTACAGTGGGGTGGAGAACAACTCTGGCTTTTCAGCAATGGCAAGTTTCACAACTCAGATATCCACAGATACAGTAAAATGTAAGCTTAGCAACTTAGCAATGAAGTTATAGACATGTTACAGAGGGAAGGGTAAAATTACAAGTAGGGTAGAACTGCAAAATGAAAGTGTATACTGCCAAAACACCTGCATTACATCAGAGCAGTGAACGAAGAAACCTGTAGTTGTTTCAAACATGCATAAATTTAACCATTAAGGATTTCAGATCTAATATTGATACCTTTTCAGTTGCAGAGCTTCCTCCTTTTGTATCCAGAGTGTTTTTACCGGGGTGCAGTAGAGGTGCAACTAACTCAGCAAGCCACCCTGTACATACTCCTTTCCGTGAGACTGGTCTAGCGGGACAGGCAGGGAACTCCACAATGTTAAATACAAAACACAGTTTTCCTGGCTGATACAAGTTTGAACTGCAAAGACAAAAGTATGAAAAAAAAAACCCACAAACAAACCTGAGAGATAGCTGTACAGTCTTACAACGGGTCCATTTGCAGCCCAAACCACCTCAACTGAATCAAGATTCTCAGTGTTCAGCTAACTCTGTGATATTTATATACAACTAGAAAACATATTAAGGTTGGACTCAGAGGCCAGTTCCTACAGAAGGGAATCCAATTCCTACCAGATTCACACATGTGTGAGTAAATTCTTGAGAACTCTACCAAAGTCTTGCCAGACACTTAAACCAATGTTGTTTGAAATAGTCAAACCCTGTGTTTTTTTGCAACAGGGACACAATCACTTTTTCTTCAGGTGACAATCACTTTTTCTTTCATTCCTCTGTTTCCTCTTTAGATTATAACATGTAGACAAACATTTAAGAAAAAAGTGTACCTAAATTTCTAAGGAGATATAATTAGAATATTTCATTACCTTGACACTGAATAGGATCTGGCTTGTAATTTAGGAAGATGTTCTGAAAAAAATTAAAAAGAGCATCATTTATTATTTGATTCACCCCAAAGAAAATGAAAATATCACATGATGAGTGTTTACAACAGATTACAAACATCTTACAATTTAATTGTAATTTTACTTTATTGACATTCAGTGTTTGTGGTTCAGAAATAAGCTATTAAGATGAACTCTATTTTGAACGGTTTTTAGACTTTGTGGAACATCTGTTAGAGATCCTATAAAATGAGGCCACAACAGTAAATTTATGGGGTTCTTGGTCAACTAAAAACAACTGTAAGGTGCACAGAAGAGATGCCAGTAGCTAGTGGACAAGGTGAAGCTTGAAATTTAATTTTCTCCATCTTCCATCTAAGAGCTCAAAAGCTCTTAGAATAGGATTTGCTTGATTGAAAGTTTCCTATATGTGATGTCCTAGAAGTAGATGTGCCAGTTCAATTTCAAACCACTATGACTACCTACGCAAATTTTTGAAATCACAGCTAAAAAAGCAGCAACAGAGACAAGAGTTTACTGGGCATTTTTTTCAATGAGAAACTCACTATATATATGTGTGTGTCTATGTATGTACATATATATATATGTTATATGTATGTATGTACACATACAGAAAAGGTCAAACTCACTGGTGCCTTCAAAGGAATGACTTGCATGCAGATTGAACATTTTGGCTGAGGAGAAGGGTGTATTAAAAGGAGACAGACATACCACTAAGCGAACAATGTGGTGGGGAATGGCGACCATAAGTGAGCAATACCAGAAAAAATGGGCATAGCAAATGTCAGAAAACATACAGTGAAGTAATAGGGTAACATACAGTTTAACTGCTTTTAAGTTGTTTTTTCACATGTACGACCCTTTTGCAGATGTTCCAACCAGAACATGGACACTGACATATTTTAAAGATGCTCCGGTACATCAGATAGTTGCAAGTCAGAGTTAAGAAAAGCTAGTTCACTGAAATCACTTAAAGATGACACTAAGCCCATTGAGCACATTAGTTTCCTGGGAGAATACATTTCAAAAACTTTCAAAATTTCCTTTTATTCAGTCCAGTTGCTACAGCACATTCCATATCACCTTTGAAAAGCTAAGTGTTTTTGCTTTCACTGTGAAAATTAATGTATTTGTATAAAGTGGAGCAGAGCTTGTATTTATTTTTTTAAATCCCAACAGCGTAGTAAGAAGGAGAGATTTGGGGTAGGTATGGAGAAAACAACTGCAAGAACATAAAAAGCAATCTTTTTGTTTCCTATAATGAAACATTTTAAGAAGTTCTGGTTTTTAATCTGGAAAATAACTGCCAGTATTTTCAGATGTATTTGAGATGGTTACAGTTGGAGTCTCATTTCTTCAATGTTTTATATAAGGAACCCAGTGAGCGTGTTGGACATAACATAAACACAAATATTCTGGGAGAAACTTTCTGTTTTAACAGGTGAAATTGCAAGAAAAGAACATGTAGGCAGGGAAATCAGGAGTTGTAAAAATATGTCTTTTTTTAATTGTAAACAGTTGATTAATTGTTTCTTAAAGACCCTAATCCTGCAAACACCTTATGCTTATTTTTTATGCACAGGAGCAATCCAGAGTCAACTGAAGCACAGGTATGTACCTGTATGTTTGTAGAATGAAGGCCAAAAACTACGCACTGGAGAACAGAGCTTTGTTCCCCAACAACAGTTTTAGTTTGATCACTATGGATATCATAATATTTCTAAAGAACTGAAGAGTTATTCCCCTTTCTTGAGAAACTGAACATTTAGTCTGATGCATTTTCAGAAACCAAATCTAATTAAATCTAAATCAGTCACTTACCAATTAACAGGTTAAGTGAAGGCTTGCAGGTTGGAAAAGCATGAAGTAAATCCAGCAAGCAAACATTAGATTCTCTAATAAAGCGTGTGTAATCAGAGGCTCCTTGTCTGCTGCAAAGCTCCTGAAGCCTCCGTTTTTCTCCCACATCACTGGTACATTCTACAAGAGCTCGCAAAAATGCCTGAAGAAAACAAGAGTGAAGAGTAAATATGTCCATTTGGGAAAATGGTCACAAAACTGGGAAAAACGTGCATTGCCTGGGGACAGGATGCAGTCGCCTGACAGGTTAACAGATAATACATTTTATTTCCCAATGCACACTTTCACCTACTATGAAAAATTCACATTTTTCTTTTCCCTGAAAAATCCCAAACTTATGAAGGGCTCTCTTATTTATGTATTTGCACTTTAGTTAAGTAAACAGTTCCATAACACAAATTAATCCAAGACAAAACATCACTTGCTAAGTTACAGAAGCCAGGAAAGGACTAATAAAAAGTCTTCGAAGAGGTATTACTGTAGATAAAGTATGGTATTTAATGAGTCATGTAAACGTCACTGTGGTGTTTTATTCCATACTTATGCCTACATAATGGTACTGCAAGCTTTTCTTAAGGGAAAATGAAATTCAGCATTGTAAGATAAACTAAAAATCAGATGTAAACAGTTACAAGTTTTTTTCCAAAAGCAAGGTGGAAATAGACACAGTGCATAAATGAAAAGTGATCCAAAACACCAAGTGCAATCAGATGACAGACTCTACACAAAAGAATACTTGTAAAGTAATTTGAGTGTGTTCAAACACTGAGCTTCCAGACAATAGTTTTCAGTACAGTTACATAAAGCACATTCTACACTGAACAGGTAATAAAGTAGATAAGTTAGAAAAACTGACTTGGGCAGTATTCCCCAGCCAACACTCTCTGCCTACTCTTATTGTTGAGACAAACTTTCAAAGTTGTCAAACGCAGTTTTGAAAAGGCTGAAACAAGTGGAAGATTCTCTTCTCTTCTGCTGCAAAATCCACTAAATTGAGTGAAAAGATCCTTCCAAAACCTGATTTCCCTCAGAGACCCAACCAACACAACTGTTTAGCTTCATTGTTCATACAAAGTTATCTTTAAAATGTGTTTTGACAATGCTAGAAATAAACATGCATTTCCAGTTGCAAGCTTCCAGTTTTTTGCAAGCACAGAATGAACGGAAAATAACATTCACTTGTTGTGAGAACAAATGCTATACACATAAAAGTCTTTCTTAGAATTCTGCCAGGTTACTAAAATGCTAAAGAAAAGCTTTATAGTAATTTAAAAGACATTATGGTATGTTTGCATAGAGCAACATGCGTATTTTCAGTGACAAAACTTGACAGATACGGCTCCCTCCGACTAGAAAGAATGATTTCTCTGAAATGCCTATGGGGCCAGGTTCAGTCAGCCTTCCAGTTATCTGGCACCAAATATCTAATACTCTTCTATTTACTTCCAGACTAGTTACGAATCAAGGTACTGCAGAATGGGAATAGAGATTTCAGTAGCTCATAGTTTGCCAGGTAAAGCACCAGAAGTGAAATTTCTCAGAATAAAGTACAAACAGCAACATACAAACTAACGATCCTTATTCACCAAGAAACATGGTAACTACACATGAAGCAAGGACAGATCTCCAAGAGCCCATACAGCATAGAACTACTAACAATTTATCTTTAAAAGAACAAACACATAAACACCTTTTTGGGAATTGCTCTTATTTCCAGACACCAGGTTAGAATGAATTTCAGAGTGCTTCTTTCAGGGACATGTTGTGGATGAGCTGCT